AGAATTCTCACATGTCAAAAATGTATTCTAAATGAAGTTTCAAATAAAACAAAAATGGTTCCATATAGTACAAAGACTTCTATTTAATTCATAGTTGAGAAGAAACTTTCTTGTCAGTTTGTATTAGGTGTTAAGGTAATGGTTAATGTTATCAAGTAGACATATCCTAGAAATTCAGTTACTTAATGCACCTTAATTGTGAATGTATGCACGTATATTGCTTATTGTTTACTAAATATTTTTTTCAACTGCTAAGTTAGCTTGTAGAAATATTTCTTTTATTATTATTCTCAAAAATCTAGAAATTTAATATTCAATATTCACACAGTGTGGATAAGCTTTGGTTTCAAGTTTGAAATTGTAATGGTTAAATACTTTTCATTAAAACATTCAAGTTTGTTACTAGAATTATGTTTTTTAACTGGTTGTACGTAATCTTTATTTTTATGTAACTTGTAACTCTAGTTTAAAATTTTAGAAAATATTATGAAATCTTTCTATAAAGTGAAAAATACAGCTATTAAGTATACACTTTGAAAGGCATGTTACTGAAACAACACTTTTTTTGCACACCTTATTCTTCTATTATTGAAGTAACTGGTAGTATTTTGTAAAGACGAGCTATTTGAAGGGCATGATAAATGAACATTTTAACTCAAATATTTCTTAAAACAAAAGATCACTACAGATGTTGGCTCAAGTTACAATGTGATTCAGTTTAATATGGATAAAAAAATAAAGTCCTAAAGATGATTTGGCTCATTTTTGTACTGTATCATAAAGTGACGATAATTTTGATAATTCATTTAAGAATAATAAGCAATAGTTTAATGATAACGTCTATTGATACCAATATATTTCTCATCACTATATAAAACAATTTGACAGTACACATAATGTGTGTGTGTGTATCGAAAACTCAAACAAAATTTAGAATGTTATAGACATTTTTACTTGATTATTATAATTGAAAATGTTCATGCCCAACATTTGTATTTTTTTAGATTATAAATAAATTGTGCGTGTGTGTGAGTAAGTAGTTATATGAAGTTATAGGTATTCATTGGTACTTGTACTAAAAAAAAAGTTTCTAAGTACGTATAATTTCTGTGCTTCTGTAGAGGAACAATCTTTACAAAACCTGTCTGCTATGTTGAGTGAAGAAGAACAAATGCTAGGAAAAGTAAAGCCTTTCTGGATACCAGATACTGATGCTCCAAGCTGTATGCACTGTGAAACTAGGTTTACAATGATCAAAAGAAGACACCACTGTAGAGCCTGTGGAAAGGTGTGTTTTTAAATAACAAAAACAATTTATCCTTAAAAGAACTGGTTACGATTTTTTTTTTCGTCTTATGTCATATTTATTTTCTATCATTTATCCTTTACGTTTAAGTCTCAAACCTAAGTGTTACTTTTTACATTTTTCTGATTATGAACCTGTTAGATATATGGTATTTTAATTCTTTTCTCTTCATGATTGTACGTTGTCTGTTCAGTGCTATAATTCTCTGCATTGAGACTGTACAGGATATTTTTTATCCCTATTTTATATTAACATAAAAGCTAACAGTTTTGTATTTGACTTTCTCTCAGGTGTTGTGCGCCCACTGCTGTAATCAGAAAGCACGTCTCGTTTGCCTTGTTAACAAAGAAGCAAGGGTGTGTCATAACTGTCTTGCAGTCTTAAATAAAGGTATGCTTTTCTACTCATCAAATTAAATCTTAGTATGTGTTTAAAGGATAAAATTTACTTTAATTTATATCATTAAACTTTATAATAGTTTAAAATGCATGAAATAAAGTTTTAAAAAGAAAATAACTGGTCAGTCTCTTGAATTACTTGAATTTGTTAATTAGTTTTTAAAACTAGAGTTATTGTAGAGTGGCATTCCAGACAGATCTGATCATTATTATCTTTCTGTAGTATCTCTGTTTTTTTTTTAAAACCCTTCTGTAATGGAACTGTATCTGAAGAATAACAGACACTCCAAAACAATAGTTTTAAAGAAGTATAAGTTTGGATTTTTGAAATGAATTTAGTTGTAAGTTTAAGTCACAAATGGAACTTGTAAGAATTACACACTTAATATTTCTTTGTAAAAAACTAAAAGATAGTTCATTCATAATCATTTGAAAAGCAGCAGGCTCCACAAAACAAAGAGAGAGAGAGGGAGAGAAATCCTATTGTTTACCTTCTTGACATTTGGCCTACTTCAGATAATAATTTTGTCAAAATCCTTCTTCTCGTGACAGTCTTATTTTCATTGCACATCAGTATGTCTGTGCATTTACAGTGCTAGAATCCGGATTTTGATACCCATGGTGGGCAGAGCACAGATAGCCCATTGTGTAGCTTTGTGCTTAATTACAAACAAACAAACTTATTTTCATTTTAATAACAGATTTTAATATTTCAGTTATGGTATTTTTTGGAAACTTTTGCACTTCGTAGATAGATAGATAGAAGTACATTGAATGTTAGTAATTTACTCCACTACCAAATTTGAAGAGGCCTGGAAGAATATAAATCAAGGTTCTCTTTTATGTGTCTTTAATATAAATCTGCTAGTTTTGTGTTCCAGCACACACATTTTGTACAATTGTGCCTCAAACATGTTTCAAGAGGCACTTAAGTTTGGATTAATTTTAACTTGATTTTGACATTCTACAAACTGACATGTCAGAATGCTGTGTTGCAGCTGCCTTAGGTGTGAGCAAAAGTGTAGTTTCCCATAATGGAATATGATACAATGATTACAAGTTAACCATAAGTGTTATTTGCTTCCTCATTATAGTTCAAGCAGTTGAGAGGCTGACTGGTAGCAGTGTTCCAGCAAGTCCCAACCCTGGAACAGGCAGCATAGCTGTATCTCCTCTTTATTCTGGATCCAATTCTGCACCAACATCTCCAGGTTTTCTACCTTGTGAGTCAACTGTACAGGATGAAGAAAGATGGCAGCCAGACCCTAACAATCCTCAAGAATATTGTTCCACTGTTTCACCTCTGCAGCAAGACAATGGAAGTGAAAACAGACCCCCTCTTACAGTAATGGTACCAATAGGAGTTCTTAAAAGAGGTAAGGAGTCTTATATTTAGGCACTTCTACTTCCTTTTTATTGTTGCTTCTAACATCCATGTACTAGTGCCTTGTCAAAGTATTAAATTAAATATCAACACAATTAAAAAATTATTTGAAGTTCCAGAGATATATAATTTGTACTATAAGTATTGAAGCTAGACACAATTTAGGATATGGGCTGAAAGAACAATTGCCCTATGGACATATGTAATTCCTTAGAAAACTAGCATTAAGTCTTAGTTGATATTTGTTGTAGAAACACAAATATAGAGGACGACATTTCAAAAGACTTCCGCCTTTCTTATTCAGGTCCATGGAAGACTTTGTCCTCTATGCTTTTGTTTCTACAACACGCAGTTGTCATCCATTCAACTAGTTTCATTGTGAATACTCTGCCTAAACAGTCTATCAGAGAATAGCATTAAGTCATTTCATGATACATGTTATGGTACAGCTCAAGATATGACATACGTTAAATAATGCAGAGTACTTATTTTAAGGCTTAATATGTTTCATACTGTTAAACAGAAAGACTAATACCCTAAACATTGACTTCATTTTTGTCTTTGAAACATGCATTTAAAACAGTGATTTACTAATGAGTTTTGATGCCCAATTCAAAGAGCAGTTGTGCAGTATTGATATGATCCTTTTTTTTTCAAAATAAATGCATCCTTTAAGGCAAACTCTGCTCTATGAAAAAAGATTTCACTAGGACTAACCTTTGTTCAGTGAATGCCTAGTCTATCTCTTTATCGGTTTACATTTATAATGTACATACAAAACTTGACAAATAAACATAAGAAAAACTAGAAGATGGTACTTAAATAATTAACTTTTTAAAGTAAATAATGATATGACAAACCAACAACTTTTGATAGGTTTGGTTTAGTATTTACAAATAAGTAACTAACCTTGATACTGCTCTAGGCTTTTGATAGTTAGCAGATAGTCTATTTTTTGCTTTTAATTGAGGGTATGTCTTGACAGGATTGATGTTTTGGCTCATTTGCATTTAGCTTCATTTAGCTAAGTTCTGTTGAGGACAAAAAGTGGATGTAGTGAAATGTCTGCCTTTAGTAAAACCTAACAAAATAAATGTGATTCTGAGCCAGTTCTTCTAAAGTAGACTGTTTTAAAGAGTCATTCATAATAACATTTTTTTTATGGCACAGTTGATTTTATAAGCATTGTACAGCATAGTCTAATACATCTTATGATAACAATCAGGTTAATATTTCAGTTTCGTAAAAACTATCTAAGAATAATATAGTATTATTTACATAATTATAATTTAAAAAAAGATTACAAATTACTTTTTGCTTTTATGCTAATATAAAACATAAATCATAGTCTGAATAGGATTATGTATACATAAAGTTGATTGGAACTAAATTTGGACACGTAGTTTGATTTAATGTAATAGCTGTAAAAATTGAGAAATAAATTTAGTTCAATGCTTATTTTTAAATTGTAATATCTCATGTTGTACTTTTTTGATAAGTAAAGTTATTTGAGTTATTTCATGTAGAGGTTCTATGTTGTTGTGGCAACCTTTTAAAAACTTCTATAAAATTTCCTCTATTTTATATCATTAGGTTTACTGTGCAAGTCTTTGTAATTTTAATGTTATAGCACGAGAAGTGAAATGTGTTTTGTATTTATGAAAAAAGTTACTGAAAATATTTTTTAGAAACTTTGTATGTTAGTTAATTTTAGCAAATAATTTGTTTTAGTTGCTTGTTTTGACTAGCGTTTTAAAAAGCAGGATTTCGCTGTTCATATCTGGTTTGATATAGTCACCTAGTCAAATGATGTAGTTGGACTTTGGTTTGCATCAAGTACTTTCGAATTGAACCAAATATTTATACAGTATTTTGTGGTTTCACTTTAATCCTCTTGCTACAGCTACGTCAAAGTGTACATGTCATGACCTTTTTAGAGAGGTACATTCAAAAATTAATTAAACTGCTTTATTTTCATTGTATATGAATAAACATGGTATAAAAACATAGTTAATGAACCAAGTTTTAATATTATACATGTTTTAAGTTCTTAATTTTATACGGAAATTTTTTAAAAATCTTCAATCTCTTCTAGTATGAGAATTGTGACATTAGTTCTCTAGGTATTCCCCCCTTCTCTAATTTACTTACCATCCCTCTGAAAAGTATTGAATTGAATGTAAATTATCATTGTAATATAGATATTACTAAGGAAAAGGATACTTTTTATAGCCTTCAGTCTTATTTGTTTACAGAGCATTGTCTGTTTTGCCTTCAATTTGAAACGTTTTCTCACAGTATTCACATCAACAATCTTAGTTGAATTTTTAAAGGCTCTTATTGCATAGTTAGAAAACCAGATAAATTATATGATAGTTATAGTTATAGTTTTGAGTTGCATTATTTAATTAAATGAAAATTTAGTGTAGTAGTACCAATCGTACAAGAAAAGTTGGGTTAAATTTCATCAATAGTCAATAACAGCAAATAAACAAGAGGCCCGAGGTAATTACTGTATTTCTTGTTTTTCATGTGTATTCTTTATTATAGTAAAAGTAATTAAAATGTCAAAAAATTAGAAACTTTTTAGGTTACATTAGGTAAGGTAATGAAAAATAATAATAAAAATTCTTTACAAGATATGCTCATAAGTAGCTCGTGCATTACATAATTTGATAAGGTAATATGAGCTACACAATTACCAAGTGATTTACAGCTTGTGTGTTAGCATTTTTAGTTAGATATGGTTCAAAAGACAATAAAGTTACCTATGTACAGATGTGTACTGTTACAAACTTTAAGCTATTTACAATAAACAGTTGTAGTTTCATGTTACAATTTGCAGTCATTCTAGAAAGAATAAAAGCATAATTTAGATTTCATATTTTTTATAGTGGCTATGAGGTCAATAAAATTGATTGAATGGATACAGAGTTAGGATAAAGAAAATAACAGATAAAATATAAAGTTTTACTGAAAAAAAAGTTTGATATTTATGTAGGAGGTTTTAGAGATTATAAAAAAATTGATTTCACAATTTTTAGATAAAGAAAGGTATTTTTAATCTTAACATGAAAATACTTGGCACTTGGAGCAGTCAACAGTGAAAACCACATCTAACTGTATGTTTGGTTTATACCAGCAGGAGATAAACCTCGAGGAGAACCCAAACAGGTAATGTTTTCTGATGGTATCCGTCCTGGAGGTGATTTGACAGATCTTGATAATCCACCAGATTACCGTGCCATACCATTCAGACGTCAAGGTCGTGTCCAGAAGAAGGTTACTGGTATGTTTGTTTAAAATATTCATATCACGTCTTGCATAATAATTTGAAGATGTATATATTGCACTTCTTTAAATATATGTATATAGTCACTATCCTTCTATTCCAGCCAGTAGTTGATAAGTTGAAGATGAACCATACAATTTCTGTTTTTTAACTGCTTTTATGATTTCAGTAGCACAAGCAGTCACAGTTCTGATTTTAAAGTCGTGTTTTTAAAAAAAAGGTATTAATAATACATAATTCTAAAGATGTTGAGGATGTACTTTATATCCCATGTGTCAATGACCATTTATGACTGTTAAATGTATCTGTCATCTACGCACAAGCTTCATTTTGAATGGACACGATTAACAAAACATAGTACAGGTTTTACGTGTTAAAGTTGGCATTTCAAGCTGTAATGATGAGGTTTGATGCATTGAAATATTCATGTTTCTTTGTGAAATAATTTTTTTTATATGAAAAGTAAAGTTTATTACTGTGGAAACATCCATGGGTTTTTACTTTGTTTTAATAATCTTAAGTTTTCAATTTAAATTCAATTATCCAAGTGGTAAATGGTAATTTGATAAGTAATCTTTTGATATAATGTGACTGTTTTATGTTATGGTTGTTTATCATTTATCATGAAAAAAATAGGAAAATAAAGCTTTACTTTCACCTTGTTTTGCAACATTCATAACATATGTTCAACAATGAGAACATGTAGAAGAGAGAATATTCTAGAGAATGAACCAATATTTGGGCTTAGTTGGTGTAACTGGATTAATCCTTGGAAGGAGACTTGTACTATTTATATTCAAAACTCGTGAATGGTAAAAAACGTAAGATTACTTGTTGAAATAGTGAATCACTTGTATTTCTCTTCAATTCAAAGGTTATTCAGTATTTGCTGCTTCACAATGAATATAGACAATTTAAAAAAAAATCATATGTTTCAGTCACATTTTGGTGTATGTAATTTTGTTTGACTTCAGTGTTTTGGTTTGTTTGTTTGTTTGTTGTTTTTTATCGAGGGGATAGGGGTAAGTTCCAAATCTCATGTCTATAGGACGTGTGATACTTTTTAGGTAATTTTTGTCAATGGTTTTGGTAAGTGTGAAAAGTAGTAGTTTTGAAATAAGTTAATTAAAGAATTATTATTTGTGGAGATAATAGTATTTTTATATTATATATCAGCCACTCTAAACAAGTCAATCTTTTCAGTAAGCGATTCTAGCTCTGAACCATCATCGGGTGGAAGTTCTGTACTATCTTCTGGAAGAAGAAAGAAAGGATCTGGTCAGGATTTGAGACGAAGACGAATTGTCATATCAGATAGTGATGGCCCTTTACCTCCAATATTTTTACCTGCAGGTATACTACAGAAATTAGATTAAAACTTTACCCTTTAATATTTTGTGCAAGTGGTTATTGCTTTGAATCAGTAGGAACATTATTTAGCTCTGTTTTTCTTTACCCTCAGTGAAAGTATTCATCCAATAATGTGTATCATAAATAACCAAAGCTAAAGTACTTAAATACAGTAATACCTGACAGGTGTTTTTTTATGGATTTTGTCCAGCTGAATTGGTTCTGTCATTACGTGAGTACAAAACTGACATTTGTACTGGTCTAAATGTTCATCTAGACTTGAGCTACAGTTGAATAACCTCTAACAAGATAAAATTAACTTACCATTTAAGTAGTCATGTTAACATTATACTAAACTTTTTTTCTAGTATTTTATGCCTAGAATACTAAGCCTAACAGTACCAGATTTTTTTTTACACCTTCCAGTGACTCGGCTGTAAGTCAGAAGGCTTAATGCTAAAAACCAGGTTTCAATACCTATGATAGGCACAGCACAGATAGCCCATTATGTAGTTTTGTGCTTATCAACAAACAAACAATACATTCATTACCCATATAATATGCTCAGATATATTTTGTTAAAAACATTCAAGTTACATAATGAACTAATTCACAAATGTTAAATATAAACACTGAATAACATTTAAAAAGGCCCAGTTTCCTGCTTTTAAATCAGATTACTAATAATCTGTACACCTTATGCTACATACTTAAGTTTAACATTGTTTACATTAAATACTTATTTGAAGTTGGAAGTGTTCAGCCCATATATTATCACTACTTTTTAATCATTCTAGCTAGGCACAATACAAATATCCCCCATTGGGGCAGCAGTAAGTCTATGAATTTACAACATAAAAACCAGGAGTTCGATTCCCCTAGGTGGACACAGTAGATAGCCTAATATGGATTTGCTGTAAATAACACACATACACACACTGTAAATTTTGTGAACTTTGAATTTCTTCACAAAACATTTACCATGAACAGTTTACAGTATGGCTTTAATAACATGATTTTCTAAAATGTCGTAAAATTTATTCCTATATTCTAAGATGCATTAATTAAAATTTCTAACTGTTCATTTTTATAAATCTTATAACACTTGTCAGCTAATGATCTGTCAAGAAACTTTTTTTTTTCCAATCAATAACTATTTCAGATTAGAGGTGTACGTGTGTGTGACAGAAAAATTTATTGCAGCAGTGACTTGTTTGCTCTTTTACAGATGTTACCAGTGACGATAAGCCAGACATTAACCATCTGTTGAAATGGATGCAAGGTGAGGCATTGTTTATTGCACAGTTAGTTTTGAATTACAGGATGAACAACTACATATTGTAGATGTGGTGATGTTAGATAGTTTAATGTTACATTTGTTAATAAAAAGAGTATATTATCTCAAGCCAAACAGCTTTGTATTATTTAGAGGTTTTAAATCTGTATGTACATCTTTTCTCTGTCAATACCTAACACTCTTTATTATCTTCATTTTTATCAGGCAGGTGGCAGCACTGCCTATGTAGGGATAGCTCAGATTGTTCATTGAAACAGCTTTGTATTAATTAGAGGTTTTAAACCTGTATGTACATCTTTTCTCTGTCAATACCTAACACTCTTTAGCATCTTCATTTTCATCGGGCAGGTGACAGCACTGCCTATGTAGGGATAGCTCAGGTTGTTCATTGAAATGGTATTTTAAATATCTCCTCAACAGGTCATCAGAACTTTACAACACTACAGTGTTTCCTTTTATAACAATATCTATGTAATAACTGAGTCACAAGTTCTGGGAATGTCTGTAAATATCATAGTAAATAGTTTGAATTTCTTCTTGTTCTTTTTTTTATTGCATGATAACTCAAAAACCAAAACAATGGTGTCAACCAAGTTTGCTGAGGTAACATAGTTGCAAATGGTTTATCTGCTTTTATATGTATTATTAATAACTAGTAGTAATTAAAAAACATAATTCTAGTATAAATGATGTTATCATTATCCCTTGAAATTAGCTTTCTTACAGAAATTTGATGTTCCTTTTAAAATTTTAAGTACAGGGTGAAACAGGAATTACCAGCCAGTAATAGATAACCAATAAATATTACAGTTGGAATCTCGTTGTATTTAGAACTTGGTTATAAATACAACTTTCCTTAGTCTATTGAAGTACTACATTAAAAAACAAACAAGTAAAGAAAA